GAAGTTTGTCAGCGTAATATCTCCGGTGCCACCAAGAATGGTGGAATGTTGTACTGGAAGGCAGGGTCCACAACGGACTGTAGCAGTTGTGGAGAAGAAGAAGATTATATCCCGTATTATGAATGTCTCGGGTAGTATATCATTAAGGACACACATTTTTGTCCTGGACAGAAGACTTGCGCAGAGTAGAATGGTAGAGTTATTTGAGAAGACGTAATTGAACAATACGTGGATGGAAGTGACCTTGGTTTCAATCTAGTATCGTAGTATAGAGCGAGTAAAGAAAATCACGGAAAAATTTAGGAACAGTAACACATTTCCCGGCCGACACAGCCCCTACAAAGTACGCAACCGGGTGTTGACTACTAGAATGTCAGTTTCGATCTCAAGCAAACAAATGTGGTGCTTTGAATTACCAGTCAAGAAGTGTTCCAACTGCTAATCAATGCTTATTTCCGACTTAATGTCTTTGGTAGACAAATTGCTGTCGAGGGTAAATGGATAACTTTTTTTGAGCAAGGATTTCAAATCTCTGATGTAAGACAAGATTCGCTAGCTACTGCAAATTTACATACCGAATGAAATTTATTTTAGTGTTTAGTGACGTTGCAGAACATACCCGAAAGAAGTAAGTCAAAAGTTGTTTATCATGTTTTAACAACTATTAAATACGTCCTAAAAAAATCCAAGGTTTCTAGACAATCTGCCTGTATAACCAATAACAGAAGTTCCTGAATTTGTGGTTCATACTTTTGGGCTGTCTCTCTCTCTCACTCACTCACTAGTACTGTCATATTAGTTGTTTCATGAAAATTACTGTAGCAGAATTGAACTTCGTCAGAACGTAGCGGGCATAAATCGAGAAAGAGTTCCAGAAGGAAAAAGAGTTAATGTGAAGAAGAATAAGTAAATCAAAGCAAAAATACACGGCCTCCTTTTAGGATTTGACAAATGAGAACTTTTCTCACAGCTCGGATTGGTCAGTTTGACTGATGTCTAGCCACTCCCTAAGATCATTAAGAAAGAAAAAGGCTACAAAAAGAAATAAAAATTTCAGAAACGGTCCAGCCATGTCTGTGGTAAACATGCCTGACTATAGTTGAATAAAAACCAATCCTTAGCGAAGCATATCAACTGTGTCACGCTGGTTGTCATAGAGATGAGTTGCTACAAGATGACGATGCATCCGCTGACGGTGAGCTGCAAATGAGTCACTGGTGAACAAAATATGGCACAAACCAATTGCATTCCAGTGAGCTTCAATCCGTGAGCCGCAGGCATCTCCTGACATAATTTGGAACGTAAACAAAAGGAATCAATGGAGTCTGAGTCCATAATCCCTCTAGTCTAAATTTTAGAAAGTGACAAATTCGTATTTCTGCAAAGCAAATGTCTGACTCTGTATCTTTAAGACCCATTTGAGCATTACTTTGCAACCTACGGATTAATAAATTCTAGCGATAAAATAATTCACAGGCTTAATTGTAGCCTAGCCTACTTTTAAGTACGTTTTAAAAATAAAGACAAATTATTTAAGAACTGGGAATCATGTGGACAAATGATTTAAATCTGATGAGTTTCTCCGTGAAAATGTTTTTTTTCAGCAGTCAGCGAATTTAAAACTTGCACGAGAAATTAAGGTCATTAAAATTTGTAGATATAAAAGTGACGTACGTGAATGTTGAGCAAAGGGATGTATGTCCAATGCACTGAAAGGACACTGACAATTCACCCACTGGCCTTGAATTTATATACACAAATGTAAATTAAACGGATGATCCTACATTGATCAACCTGTACACACAGGACAGTACACGCCGAAATTAATGTAATCAAACAACAAAAATTCTACCACATCTGCACAGGTACCGAAATTTTGTGCAGACTGATTAGCCCTTCCGGTTCTTATAAAGAAGGTTCCAGTTTCAAATCACTGCTTGAAAATCGGATATCTATTTTATGAGTATTTTCGTGGTTTTAATCAGTCAATTCAGGTAATTACCAGGATATTACCGGAAAGTCAGTCACTGAAGTAAATTCCTTACCACGAACCTACAAATCTTAGTTTATTATTGTGTTTATATAAACTAAAATTAGTGAGGTTTATGATATCAAACTTCTTCGCTTTTAAAATAAACTTGTGATCCTGTATTTGGAAACAGAGCTAATAAAAATATATATAGCTACTTTGTGTAAAGAAAGTAACGTGTTAACGCTAATATTAATATTTTGCCCTTCCAAAAGAAATAACAAATCTTATTTGAAGGCATTTACAGTTATAGGAAAGCTGGAATTATTTGCGGAAAAATTGTCATGAACAGGTAATCCGATTTGTAAGACAAAAATATTTCTGAACATGGTTGTCTTCTGGGTTGTCGCGTAGGTTGTCTATCAGACTACAGAAGACAGCCATCTTCCTACTCATCGCCATGAGAACATCAGATTCTACAAAAATGATAATTATTTACACTGATTATCAAGCAAGTAAAGAATTCAATATCAACAGTAGCCACAACATTTATTTGTTTTATTCCTCAGTAAGGAGCAGGTATTATTTATAATTCAGTATGTTTTATACGAAAGAAAGAGATTAAAGCAATGGCAAAATAAATCAAATGTTGTTTATTAAAGTTTTCGTATTCCGGTACAGTCAACAAATTCATTATTCATCTTCAGTGCGTCAAATTAACTGTAATAATAAACGGAAGGCTAGTCACAAAGAGTAAAAGGAAAATATTTGCATCTCCAAATAATTTGGTAATTATTAATGCTATACCAGTGCACTCTTTTGGGAGGATCCGGCAGCACTTCCTGGCGCCTGACCCAAGCAACACTTTCTTCTAAGCTCAACATTGATGGATAAGGCGCCATATTTCTTTTCGTATCCCCCTTCCGTCTCCTCCACGTATGGGATGAAGCAACGTTCTCTGTTACTTATTAGGTTTGCCTACTCTCCTCCCGGGGGTGTCTGACACCCCCATCAACTCCTGAGGTACACTCACTTTATGAAAATCATAAGAAGAAAAACCGAATCCTGAAGACATTTGTCTTGTTCCCAAGCAACTCAAAACACGTTTTAGGCTAATTAATGTCACAAGACATTTAATTTAGATTAATACTTGGAAGTTTCACTAAATTTTTAAGCTGATATAAAATAGAATTTGAAATGCAGTAAACAATTAATGATAAACACTGAACATCTCGAAGTTAATTTCTTTACACGACAATTTGAAATCAATATACCGCCATCAAAATGTAAAGGACATGCAGTGTCGTCCTTAGGGCGGGGTGAGGGGTTTGTAACCCGGGCACTGAGCTTCAGAATGCCCCTACCATGGA